GTGTAGTTTTTGGTGGCTAAGTTGCTTATTGACAACCTATTAAGATACGCCCTAATTTCTTCTTCTATGTTCGGACGTCACACCTCAAGAGTATAAAGGCTTCCAATTTTTACTTGGCAAAAGAATTGTTCGAGAATTTCTCGACGCGCACACAAGCGGTTTATCCCGGACTAAATTGGGCAGGCAAAATCGACACGATGCACGAAACCTGATTTGGGTACCACCAGGTCGCGACACCTAGAAAAAGGGAACAAATAGGGGCATGTTAATCTGGCTTAGATACGGGGCTGCTACTTGCGACATCCCCACTACCAAACATCGGACTTCCATTTATCTAACCATGCGAGCATACAGTTCAAGAACTTTTTTTGGTCTCGCTCATTTCCTCTATGTACATGTGTGTGCAATGCTCACGGGGATCGAACCCTGGACCCGGTACTCTCTAACCCCGCTTCTCTAATCCCTTCACCAGTGGAGCCGCATGCCTCTTGGTGCGTACAATTCAAGATTGCGCAGTCAACTATTATATCCATAAAATAGGTTGCAATTGCGTGTGGAACTCTGAACACCAAGTTAAAACCAGATATTAAAACTCCTGAGCATCTCTCATCAGCGACGGAACACAGCAGGAGGGACCTTATTCTCTTTTTGTCGCGCATGCACAAGCAAGAACGCACGAAACGAGCGAGTAAAACTTAGAATAAGTTCGGTCATCTCAGCTAATCGAGTTATCGCAAACTCGAATGATGCCTGTTCTTCTTGGTGGAGGGAGAGAGAGAGAGAGAAGAGAGAGGGACGAGCGAATCATTGGAGTGGGGACATTTGGCGACCAGAAAAGCTGGCCTTTTTAACCTCGGCCCGCATTGCATTGCCTCTGCTTTTTCACTGCCTCTGCTTTCGAAAGGATGCGGGCATGCCCTTTATATATTATTACCATGTTGCCTTGCTTTTGATAAGCGGCCTGCAGAAGTTTGGAGCGTCGGAAAATGTTGGAAGGGGAGAGGGAGCGTTTGATTGGGCAGTTCTTAAAATTTCGTTGAGCATGTTTTGGAAATTTGATTTGCTATTTTGAGCGAACGGCTTTGTTGTTAGGACGTGGAGTTCTTCGATTTTTCGAGGTGTCTTGATGCGTGATATTTTCGCCTGTGGATAACTTGATTAGTGTCTCGAGGGCACTTGTCAACGGGACCTTTTTTAGCGATGCTATTTTGGAGCAAATGCTCCTATTCTTTTTGGACTTCTCCGACAGTAAAAAAAATGGGGAAAAATATTTGAAAAGTTTTAAACTTGTTCCATTTGTAACAATCCAGTTTTAAACCTTTCAATTAGGCTAATTTAATTTTAAACATTTTACATTTTTTCAATTGAGTTCATCTAATCAATTTAGGCTGAAATTGCTAACATGGACAACGGCTATCCTACATGGCATGGCTGGCGTTAATATAGATATTTTTTTCAAATATTTTTAATATTTTTTTGAATTTTTTTCTTTATTTTTTTTTCCGTGGCCTGTGTCGGGGGTCGGCACATGCCATGGCCGATGAGGACTGGCCTCGCCTAAGAGAGGGTTTGCCTTTGCTTGGGCGAGGGCAAGCGCTGGCGAGTCTACCCTTGCTAGATCAGGCTAGGCCAACCCTTGCCCAGGCAATGCCCGGCGAGGCCGCCGTGGCTTTGGTAAGGCCGACCCTTGCTAACACAGGCCATGGAAGAAAAAAAAAGAAAAAAATTATAAAAAAAAGTTCACGTTATTGCTAAATGTGCCACACAAAATGGCTGACTTTCACGTCAGTAATTTCCGGCCTAAATTGGTCGAATAGATTTAATTGGCAAAATATAAAAATGTTTATGACTAAATTGGTCTAATTGAAAGATTTAAAACTGAATTAGTATCAAAGCAATAAATTTATGATTTTTTATGTACTTTTCCCTAAAAAAAAACGGTGCTTGATGAGTGTTTTTGAGCCCTCGTTAATTACACTGAACGAGGAAATATTTTCCTTTTCAAATGCGCACCGGTTGCACTTAACACTAGAAAAAAGTGCATTCGAAATGTGTTTTTTTAAGGTGCTTAGACTTCCGACCAAAAAATAAAGGTGCTTAGGAACTTGTTAACAAAAAATTAATAAAAATCCTTTGGAGGTTTTCTATTTTCCTTTGCATAAGCGGCTTTTGATGTCGAAATAGACATCAATTGTCATCCTTAGTAACTAAATAACGTGTAAAAATAGTCTGGTGTGAGGTAAAAATTCACCAAGCCGGCTATGGCTATGTCTACGGTAGTTGGATTTTTTCTTTTTGTCTTGTCTTGTTATGATTAAGTCAAATAATTCAGCTCGACAAAAAACAAAAAAAAGTCAAATAATTCAGTAAAGGGCATTTATGCTATGGACATTTTTTTACCAAAAAAAAAATACTATGGACATTTATTTTGCCAGCAGGCCAGCACAAGCTCAGAATTAAATATATAAATATTGCAACTAAAGTAAGAGTTTTCAAAGATGGAAGAATAGGTGCCATATATTAAAAGCATGAACTAGGGCGGTCTTCCCACTAGTTGGGGCCCCAAACAAAATTAATATGAGCCGATTTTTAGGGTAGTAGTAATTAAATGAAGAAGGAAAAGAAAAGTTAAATAGTATGTTATGAGCAAATATATAAGCATCCAATTATATTCGGCTTTAGCCCTTTTTCATATCAAAAAAGTATTAGCATCCGAAAGAGAAAATCATTAATGAATTGGTGCTCCAGTGATTATATACTTAGGCTCCATTTGTTTCGCAAAATTTTTTTCCTGAAAAAACATTGTCTCATTTTCTGTTGTTTGGACCGCTGAGGCAATAAGTCAATGGAAAACCGATACTTAAATTCGAGAAAATGATTCCACTTAACAAATCATAATCATTTTACAAATATAGGACTAAATATTGACAATTAGATTAGAGAGCTTGGGCATAGAAACTCCAACACCTATTCCTGAGTCCTTGGCAACGAGCCCAGAACGCCGATGCCCATGCCCGAGTCTTTGGTACTTGGGCCCGAGTGTGGAACACTCTTAGGGTTCTAGGGTCGGCCTCGATGGACTCGAGCCTTTGATTCATTCCTGAGCGCCAGGGATCCAGGCACAGGCACCAAGGATCCCAGCTTGGGTTTTGTAAACGCAAGCTTGGCCTCTATATACAATATCATTCGAGTATAGCCTTCTATGCGGAAAGCCAACCCTTACGCGTGAAAAATAGAAGATACGAACATGGCTATATCGAGCAAGCAACGGGAGATACGAGTAATCAATAGGTAAGGATAACAAGAATAATGATGGACAATAGGAGATAGTGTTAGGATTTATTTATTTGGGAGAGCTATCATTCATTTCTTATGGTCCCCATCACCGCTTGAGCATAACTTAGAAACCAAGAAAAGGAAAAAAAAATGAAACCGATTGATAAACGTTCATCACGAACTATAATTGACATGATTTTTCAAAAGAATTAGTGAATTTTATGAAGGGGTTAATCAGGGGCTTTCAAAAACCGAATAGATTTAGCGGGAAAGATACGTAATTAAACTTTAGCAAATCAGCGGCGAAGAATGCGGTATTTAAGTGGGAAAATTTACTTAAAAAGGAGTCAAAAGCGATGGCCCGAAAAATATTTCCGAAAGAAGAAAAGTAAAAGAGAGAAAAAATCGATAAAGGGCTGGCTGCTCCCTCGGGATATTCACCACATGATTTTGTCGTCGTGAAATGCGATACCTTGTCCAACTTTTAAATCAGAAAACTTTGAGAAGTACCCACTTCGTTTACTTTGCAAAAAAAATAATTATTTATATCGTTTAAAATAATTAATCAGTAATTAATATTTTCATTATCAATAATATTTAATATCGAAATATTTGCATGAACGATGAGAATATTTTTTGTTCATCCGTATTCGTAAGCAGCACAAGAAATCATCTTTAAAAAAATATATATTTTAAATTATTTATTTTTCGTAAAATAAACAGAAAAGAAAGTGGAATAATTATATAGACAAGGTCAAAGACTAGTGGCTTCATAAAGACATGGCCTTTTTCTTTTTCATATTTGTCATGCATGCAAAGGGTTGAGTTTAAATTTATGGGAAAATCAATAGATGACATACGAAGGCATCACATGTTTTCCATTCACGAGGCGTGTTTTGGTCGACTTTTCTTTTTAATTTTTATTTAATACGGAACACCCGAGAACCTTTCAAATAAATCGTATAAAATATCTCAAGGCTCAAAAACTATCTTATTGGATTTGCAAATTTCAAAGAGAGAGACAAACGTAAATAGACGTAAAGATCTGCCCAAAAAAGTATTTATTCATTGAAGTTCATAATTTGCCCAAATGTACGAATTCAATAATTTGTCACGAAACAAAGGGCGAATCCAATCGAACCCATTGGTATAAAATCTAAAGACACGTGAAAAAAAAAAGAAGGAGCATCTAAACCCTTTTCTGCATAGAATGTAAATATACGATTGCAAATTAGGTAAGTTAAGATTTTCGGAACAATTGTGTTTTCGCGGCACATAGAAAATGAACCAAAATTCATCTTTCTTTCTGCAGAAGCGGAGTCATTTCCAAGAATCTCGCCACAACGAATTTCCGATTTGACAGCAGCCCCAACCCCTGCTTTCAAATATTCAAATCCATTCAAATTCAAAAAAGAAAGAAGAAGAGAAAGGACAGTAAAAAACAGAAAAGAAAGAAAGAAAGGAAGGAGGAGTTAAAAAGAGGGGCAAGAAGGGCAAACCTCGTAATTTCCGAAGGAGAAGAAGATCCATCCGCAAGAGTGTTTAAAAAAGGAAGGCCCGTTATCCACACGATCCCAACGTACGAACGCACGAAAATACGACCGCGATACGAAGTCCAAAACAGCACAGAGAGAGAGAGAGAGAGAGAGAGAGAGAGAGAGAGAGAGAGTTGGAAAAAAGTGAAAATTCGAAAGAAATTATGTGAGCCTGCACGGACCCTCTTTTCATCCCCCCCTTCCAATCAATGCTTCACCCAACCCACCACCCATCATCTCTCTCTCTCTCTCTCTCTCTCTCTTATCTTCGTCTCCTTCCTCTTCTTCGCCGTTCGAGGTAGCCCGGAGGGGGGGAAAAAGAAGCGATTTTGGCTCCCCTGTTTCGTAATCTATCGGTTTGCATGCGAGTGTGTGCGTGTGCGGGTGGGGAAACCGGAGGAAAGTTCCGTGTTTTTGGCCGGTTTCGAATCGTGGGTGGTTCTTGGGTTTCCGCGTGCGCGTGTCAAGGTCGGAACGGAAATGGAGTGCGTGGAGGCCGCTCTGAAGACGAGCTTCAGGAGGGAAATGGCCGCGAGGCCGCTCGTTTCGGAGGAGTTCGTCTGGCCCGCGGCCAGTAATTCGCAGAACGCCTCGTCGGCCGACGACTTCCTCGTGGACTACCTCCTCGACTTCTCGAACGACGAAGGCTTAGTCCAAGCACAAGAGCCAGAAGGAGAAGAGCGAAACCCAAAACCAGAAGAGGAAGAAGGAGGAGAAGGAGAAGGAGAGGCAGCGAAATTGGTTTCCTCTGTTTCTTGCTCAGCTGAAGAGAGGCTTTCGGCCAAAAAGGAGGATTTTGGGCCTTTGCCCGCCAGTGAACTCAGCGTTCCGGTAAAAATCGCAATCCTCTGTCATTGTCCAAAACTGGGGTTTTTCAAATTTTCCTTTTTTTTTTCTTTTGCTTGGATTCTTGTTCGTTTTCCTCTGAAGTGATCAATGGGAAATGAGCCAAAGTCGTGATTTTCATTGCAGGATGATGATTTGGCAGAGCTCGAATGGTTGTCCCATTTCGTGGACGATTCCTTCTCCGAATTCTCCTCTCCGTTCACCGCCGTGTTCCCGCCGGAGAAGCCTCGGAATCCGCAGAATCACCAGAACCGGTCCGGACCGGAAGCTCCGGCGGCGGGGAAGCCTCATTTCGCGACGCCCGCTCAGGCCAAATCCAGGAGGAGCAAGCGCGCGAGGACCGGCGGCCGGGTCTGGTCCCTCAGGTCGCCGTCCCTGACCGACGCTTCCTCGAGCAGCTGCTCGTCGTCGTCGAGCTCCAATTCGCCGGCGAGTAACTGGCTCGCTTGCACGACCCCCCGCCCGGTCCGGAGCCTGGAACCGCTCGAGAATGTAACCTACTCGGAGCCGAAACCGCCGCCGGCGAAGAAGCAGAAGAGGCCGGCCCAGCAGGCGTTGGGCCCCCCCGCCCCCCAGCCGCCGACTCGGCGGTGCAGCCACTGCGGCGTGCAGAGGACCCCGCAGTGGAGGGCCGGCCCGCACGGCGCGAAGACCCTCTGCAACGCCTGCGGGGTCCGGTTCAAGTCGGGCCGGCTGTTCCCCGAGTACCGGCCCGCGTGTAGCCCGACCTTCTCGAGCGAGATGCACTCGAACCACCACCGGAAAGTGCTGGAGATGCGGCGGAAGAAGGAGGTGCCGGGTCAACCCGGGTCCGCTCAGGCTGTCCCCAGCTTTTGAAATTTCCCCTTGCTACCGCTCGAGTCAACAATGGCTGAGAAGAATGGACCGGTCCGGTCCGGTCCGGTCCGCTAGGTCCCCCGCCGGAGAGAGTTAGGTCCCTTAGAATTTACTAGATTACATTAATTTCCGTGGACGAATGCGTTAGATTAGGTCTTAGGCCATGAAGGGAGAGTGACTCATTAGTGTACCTTTTTTCTTTCACAAAATTTCAGATTAACAACTTTTTAATTCGATTTGCCCTTTTTCCGCCCAACATTATTTGACTTCTTGTTCCCAACAATAGTATCGAATACTAACTCCAGTATCGTTAATCGGCCGACAGATCAACGAATTGTCGATGCGTTGATTGCGAACAAACAACATGTCCGCTTCATCGTGCTTATAAAAGAAGTACCGGTGTAGATCGGATGGGATCGGGGCGCATTGGGCTATGTGTGTCTCTTCACTTATATTAGAGAGAGCTTGGAGGAGCAGCCAAAATTGCAAGAATTGGTAGTGGAAGTGATGTTGGCTATGCGTGGAGATGAATCAAATTTGATGATTGGTATGAAATGAGGGGTTGAGTGTTGGAGGTGGAATGCGTTGAGGCAAAGGAATGGTGATGGAGGGGGAGGGGTAGAGGGAGATATCTTGGTGGTTTGTGAAATATCTCGATGGGGACAATGTAGTGATCTTGGTTGCCCGTGCCCCGTGGGAAGGATAGGTGGACCACCCCCTTTTTCTCTTGTCCTAATATGGGCGTTGGGTTGTCAAATTTTTGAATTAAATCACCCTTCTTGGGAATTGCTAATATGGTGGGGGAATCATGGTACTTGTCAGTGAAGATAGCGGGAAATTAGTCGTATTCGATTGAGGTATAGTCAAGATTATTATTATTATTATTTTGTCAAAGTAACAATTCATTCATATCCATGAAAAGGGATAAGTGCACTGCAAGTCCTAAAACTTATCACAAAAGTGCGTTTGAGTCCTAAAACTTGCAAAAAGTTCATTTGAGTCCTAAAACTTGTCAAAATGATTCGTTTGAGTCCTAAAGTTAACACCGTTAGATTTTCTAACGGAAAATGCTGACGTGGCGCTGACGTGTCGTTTTTAATTATTTTTCTTGAGACACGTGGCGCCACGTCAGCAAAAATAAAAATAAAAATAGAAAAAACTGAAAAAAAAAAAAAAAAAACCAAAAAAAGGAAAAAAAAAAAAAAGAACCGGCGGTGGCCAAGCCCGGCGGCCACCGTCGATGGCCGCCGCCACAGCCACCGGGAAGGACCGGCGAGGTCGCTGGGCCTTCCCGGCCCCGGCGACCCTCGCTGGCCCGGGCGAGGGCCGACGACCCTCGTCGGCCTCGGGCGAGGGTCGGCGACCCTCGCTCGATCTCGGGGGCGAGGTTGCGCCCTCCCCGATCGAGGGTCGCCGGCCCTCGCCGGGACTCGCCGGGCCGGCGAGGGTCGCTGGGCCTTCCGAGCCCGGCGACCCCGCCGCCGGGCGAGTCCCCGCGAGGGCGGCGACCCTCGCTCGGATTCGGGCGAGCGCGACCCTCGTCCCATCCGAGCGAGGGTCGCCGCCTCGCCGGGGACTCGCCGGGCCGGCGGGGTCGCCGGCTCCGGGAAGGCCCAGCGACCTCGCCGGCCCCGGCGAGTCCCCGCGAGGGCGGCGACCCTCGATCCGGGGAGGCGCGACCCTCGCCCCGATCCGAGCGAGGTCGCCGCCCTCGCCAGATCTGAGCGAGGGTCGCCGGCCCTCGCCGAGGGACTCGCCGGGGCCGGCGGAGGTCGCCGGGCTTCGGGAAGGCCCAGGCGACCCTCGCCGGCCCCGAGCGAGTCCCCGGCGAGGGCCGGCGACCCTCGATCTCGGGAGGGCGCGACCCTCGCCCCGGATCTCGAGCGAGGGTCGCCGGCCCTCGCCGGGGACTCGCCCGGGGCCGGCGAGGGTCGTCGGGCTTCGGGAAGGCCCAGGCGACCCTCGCCGGTCCTTCCCGGCCGCCGGGCTTGGCCACCGCCGGTTTTTTTTTTTTTTTCCTTTTTTTGGTTTTTTTTTTTTTTTTTTTCAGTTTTTTCTATTTTTATTTTTATTTTTGCTGACGTGGCGCCACGTGTCTCAAGAAAAATAATTAAAAACGACACGTCAGCGCCACGTCAGCATTTTCCGTTAGTAAATCTAACGGTGTTAACTTTAGGACTCAAACGAACCATTTTGACAAGTTTTAGGACTCAAACGAACTTTTTGCAAGTTTTAGGACTCAAACGCACTTTTGTGATAAGTTTTAGGACTTGTAGTGCACTTATCCCCCATGGAAATATAAGATAAAGACAATGAAGTACAACTGAAAACCAAGACAAATCCAAAATAACTTCAAAACAAAATAACCTCCAAATGACAGGATGAATCATCAAAACAAGGATCAAATATGTGACTTTTTCAAATCAAAATTGGCGGCTAATCACCGAATCCATCTTTAATAGTGAGCACGTACCGAGATCTCCTACTGTTGTTGTGATTTTGCCTTTCGGGGGTGCTCGCCTAGATTCGGTGTACCCAAATCTTTTAATTATCCAAAATGTTGCTTCTTTTCTCTTTCGTTATAGAGAGAAGATGCATGTATTTCGATTTTTATAGAGAGAGATCATTACATGTATCTTCAACGAAAATTGTGTTGTGCATTAAGATGAGGCAACTTTTTATAATCAAGATGCATTGTTTTGGATTCAGCGTGATTTGAAATTCGTTAGCAATGTTTGATAATCAAGATGCATGAATGCATTTTTGGATGCATTACTCCTCATTCAAATAAATCAAACAAGTGTTGAACATTGTCGAAATATCCTGGAAGAAAATACGAAATTTGTACACTTCATAAATCTGTAAATGTTATATCATGCTTCGGGAAAATTAAAAAATGTGCTTTTACTATAAGTATGACGACGTGAAAGTTGTACAGACAGCTTTAAACGTTTAGTCCAATGTATAACAAAGTCATAAACATTTGAAGTTGTACAACCATATCCTAAACATGTTTTATCAAGTGCACTTTAATTCTTCCGACAAACTCAAGGCCCATATTACTGACGTGTCAAGTCGGAATCCTACGATCGCCGACCCTTGTGGGCAGCGCAGGGGCGATGCAAGCCCCAAATTATCAAGTACGACCTTAACCTGCCAATGCTCTCTCTCGAACTTTGATTACTCTTTAGGGAAAATTACCAAAAAAGTTTTAAATTTATTGCACTTGTATAATTTAGTTATAAACCTTTCAATTTGACCAATTTAGTTTGACACCTTTTAACGATTTGCCTATTTAGTCATAGTGGCCAATTTTGATCGAAAAATCGCTAATATGGCAGTCTAGTCAACGCCAGCTGTCCTACGTGATACAGCCAGCGGTGACGTGGATAATTTTTAAATTTTTTTGAATCCTTTTATTACTTTTTTCTTTTTTCGCAATCCAGATCTAGGTGAAGGCCACCTTGCCTGCAATCTGGGTGAGGTCCTCGACCCTCGCTAGCGGTCGGCAAGGGCCGTAACGCCATTCGCCAAACTAGGCGAGGGTTGCCGACGCAGGGTTGGAAAAAAGAGAGAAAAGAATAAAAAAGAAAAAGGACAATAACATAATAAAATAATAAGACATTCAGAAAAATTAAAAAATTGCAAAGATTGTTGATGTTAGTGTTGGCCGTGTCACGTAGGACGATTGGCACTAACTAAACCGCTACGTTAGCGATTTTCAACTAAAATTGACTCGAATGACTAAATTGGTATAATTAAAAGGTTTATGACTAAATTGGCCAAACTAAAGGTTTATGACTGAATTGACATAAGTACAATATGTTTTGGGCTTTTTGGTAATTTTTTTTCTTGGCTTTATTGTTCTTCTCCAATTTGGTGGTCTTATTCTTTTTTTATTTTTCTTTAACATTTTTATTTTTTAACTTTTGACTTTTTTTGGCGTGGCGCCATTTTGGCACCATATCAGTGCAAAGAATGCTATAAGAAATTTTTAAAAAAAAAAAGCCACGTCCGATTTCGGGTGTCACGCGAGCAAATTTGTCCATGAGCTTACCGGGAGGACTATATTGCACTCGATAAAAAACGTTTAAGATTTGATTATATAAATTTGAAATTATGAAATTTGATTGCACGTTGAGCCAAACGTTTAGGACTGTTGATCAGATTTTTCCTTTTTTTAATAATTAACAACTTTTATTAGAGAGGTTGCTTAAAGCCTTTCAAGTTTAATGGGAGAGGTTTGAACATCGCATCTCGAGATGGGTGGATAAGATTTTCTTCACGAAAAATTGGTGGACTGTCCATAATTCTCAAAAGTTCATAGAAGTCCTTTAGGATGTTTACAATATGTATGTACACTCATTCTCCATATAGGGTGCTTTTCAGAATTCAGAAGAAAAAAGAATAGAATGTCGATTATGTAAATAAAAGTTTGAAGACTTTTTACATACAATAAACTACGTAATTGTCACTTTAAACACATTAACACATCCTAATCATCGTCCACACATTCATGTACTAGAAAGAGCAACAACAGGACAACTTTGATTATAAAATAGCATATCGTGTGGCGAGAAAATGACGAGACACCCTGAAATCCTATGTGACATAATTAAAAAATCGACAGTCGATATAAACCGATGGAAATCACAAGAGATATCGACCATGAGTTGAGACTAGCGGTCGCATTTCGAAGTTGAAATCTAGATACTGTAGAATGGCACGGTCTCTTCAATGAAATCTAAGAGACATTGCGATGAATTTCCTTGCTCGCTTCATCCATGCAAAGGCCACCACTAATGTCAGCTATCAGTTCACTGCTCATTCCCCGTCTCGGCACAACATGTACATTGAATCACTATGCTACAATCAAATTGCCTGAGCCACTCGAGTTTGTGGCATTACTTTATGTCGGCCTCATGCGTTGCTCAAATCTCCACATCAAGTAGTTGTCTGTCCCGAATTTCAGGACGAAAAGGGATTGAACAGTTTTAACCCTCGATGCTAAAAGACGTGTTGTGATTAGAGGTAAGCGGCTCTAGGATCGATCCTGGTTCCACTTCGAACTATATGTCGGAACCGGCTCCTAAACTTTTGAAACCTAAAACATACCATGTATATTCTGGAATCTAAAACCTATCTTGTCACAGGTTTCAGAGTCTATCAAAGTTCCACATGTATTCTTAATTAAATAATTGTAGTAAATAATCACCTCTAATTGTCACAATTTACTACTATAATCCACTTACCATA